GTTTTGCAAATGTGTATCAGACTGTGCAATCTCTCCATGAGTTGGTTTTGAAACCCAGTAAGGGATTCTGAGATACATTACCAAGGATATTATTACAAGATAAATCATTTGCTTCATTGAACACATACAACAATGCATATTTCCACTGAGATCAGTGACCTTTGATGTGTATCACCAGTGACCAGTCAAGTAGAAACAGTCAAAATATTTTATCAGTTTTTCTCAATTTTTGCATGATATTTTCATACAGGACATCTGTTGTTCAAACTCAGGGAAGACTTTATACTGATGAACAAGGTGACCAAGTTTGATGAAGTTTGGAATAGAATTAGTAGTTATCATGCACACAATAACGTTTATTAACGACGACGACAACGCCAGACAAAATTTTTCCCTTAATATACCTTTCCCTTCCAACTTTGATGGTACGGGCAAGGTAATAAAAATGTAAAAATCAGCTGTCAGTCGTACAAAAGAGCTAGGGAACCGCAGCTATGAATATAACGGTTGTTGCCTGTCAGTGCCCAGTTCGTGCAATAAAACAGCGCAGCAAGTGTTCAATTCGTCCAATAACAGACACTACTTTATTATCTATCAAAACAATTATTTTACTGTAATTTTCATAGTGAAATTTGAGACATCGAATCACACTGCCATATCGTCCAATGATTGTTTTATGCGTAACTGCGCATGCGTGATAAATTCAAATTGGTACTATTTAATCTATAATTAAACGAATAATTTATGCGATAAACCATCACAACATACGTGAACACATCAATTAATATACATTCTTTATTGTGAAACTACAATTTGATAAGAGAAGTGTGTATCAGAAAAAAAAAACACAAAATGTTTACTATGCAAATTGTGCCACTCACCATGTATGGTAACAAAATGATTCAAGCCAAACTATCATAACGCCAAGTTTCAGAAAAATAAACTGAAGGGTTTTTGAGATATCTTTGTCTACAGCACACGGCCTACAGATTGTGATAGCATTAGTCGGTTGGTCCAAAGGACTAAAATTATTATAAATATAAAAAACAATAATAACCAACTCTGATTCTATTTTTGATAATCAAGTGTCTCTGTTAATAGTTATCATTCATATTTATAATAATCATCAAATTTGCATACTAATCATTTAACTATCAACCTTCAAGTGCCAAATTCTTTCTTGGCAACATTTTGCTCGTTTTTATGTAGTTTTTTTATATTAATTTTGATAATTATGGATCAAATGGACATCATTTTTCATTTGCTGTAAGTTTTGATCAAAATTTTGGAAAAAAATTTGTATGTAGGTTTAAAATTTGTGAATTGTGACAAAAGTTTACTTTGGCACAATCACAAGACTGGTTACGAACGAGTTAAGCAAGGTTAACCGAGTCGTAACCTCAATGTGGTTCGTAACCAGTTTTATGATTGGTTGTTGACAAATTCTGAATAGGCCACGCCTCCAACTGTGCAGTGCATTCGGGCAACCGTTAATTATTCTTAAATGGAGTCATTTTTTGTAGTTTTCTTGATTTATTCTAGTGATATCGGTAAAATATAGGTAAGGCTTTGGCGGAATTTGAAAGAGCAACTAATATTCTTCAAGCTGGTATTTTTTTTAGATTTTATTTTTCATTCAGTTTTTTCCAGTTTAAAAAATATGAGCTGGCTGGAGCCTTCTTCCCTGGTCTATTTCTTACACCCGATAACCCCCCCCCCCCCATAGGGACTGCGCACAGTTGATCCATAGTTCCTGGGCTCCCTGTGGTACTTATTAGATTGTTTTCAAGGAAACACGTTTTTGCTTGTTACAATGTAATCTGCACTGGCTGTTTATTCACTGGATTGTAAAATAGTGTTGAAAGTTTATCACTTCTAAATTGAATCTGAAGAGAATATTTGATGGAAAGCTTGTCACATGCATCTACTGAAAGCTTGTGTACATTGATGACCTGGAAATTAAAGCAGGAGGGTTGGCACCTATGCACGCACAATTTTATAAATATCAAGGAAGCGAACTGGTTACACATGTTATTTTGTAATTGTAAATTATTTTCTTGTTTTATTATTGAAATAGCACAAACAAAACATGACAGCTGGCAAAATGACTAGTGACTTTTTTTTACTCTGGTCCTCTCTACAACAATCTAGAATTCTTTCTCAGACCGTTCTCATTAAGGGAAGTCGAGGCAAATATATTGTTCCCAGATGAAAGAGCTCCACAAATGTAGAATGCAATTTACAACTTTTTTTTCACTTTTCATGAGTATTATGTTGACCATCTTGATTCACCAGCAAAGTGTGACATGACCACTGTTGAGAAAACCCGAGCATGAAAAGTGATATAAATCAACTAAGCGCTTCTTACTTGGGTTATAAGTGGAGTAACCAAAAACCTACACGTTTCCATTTGGCGACACTCAAACAGCAGTACTCCCGTAGGATGGCTATAGTAAATAGAGTCAATCACTGTACGTGATTGGTCCGACTGTTAAAGTTTGTATAGCCAATCAGCAAACGGCTTTTATGTTGACAGGTTTTTTCAACACATCAAATTCCGCCTTGTATACATGGTTTACACATGTACCGGAGTTTGAATGTTACAAATGAACACTGCTTTCTGATTGGTTAAATTATTACTTGCTAGAATACCAATCAAACTCACTCTAGATACTCAATTTATTATTTGGCTTTTTTTCACATGTTGCATTGTATTTTACAAGGAAATGACAAACAGTTTTTTCTTACTTATGCAATTTCATATAAGCAGCTATGTTGAGCAGTGTACATGGGTAAGGTAACCGATTGCAGAGATTTTCATTTTTCTATGGCAAAAGAAGTCCAAAAAACGTGCTTGAAAGTGCTTTAGACTTTTTTTAAATTACAAGTACAAGTCTGCTCTCGTCCTCGTGCAATTTACAAGAATTTATGTTTATATCTGCAAACAAAATTTTTTTTGCGTGTGCCCAGTTTCCAACTGGAAAGTATTACTGTAAAATCTGCATTAGAAACCGCAGCTTCTATTAGGGCATCTACACATTATGAATTTATGGTTCTCGGATATCCAAAAAGAATGAGCGAGACTTCTATTAGGGATGCGGCTTCTAATACAGATTTTTGTCGTCTAATTTAGTGAAGTGTTACACAAGTATCTTCGGATATATAAAGCTAAAGTACAAGGACTTTTAAAAATGGGATACAAAGTCTCATCCAAGACTAGTTTGAACCTACCCTGTATGGTTACTTCTCAACACAGTAAAACTAGGGTTATCATTGACATCACTTGATCTGTATTCAAGTGTAAAAATTTACAAGAAACAAAAAGGTGTATAAAAGGTTCTTAAACATTCGTATAAAATTCCCAGAACACTGAATAGACCGACAATGGAGCATTGCAATTGGTCGAGAGGGACTAGCTTATTGGGGTCTGATTGGCCAGTCAATGCAAATCCTCTACCAAAGGGGAAAGACAAAAAACAAAAACACTTGATTTGTAATTGAACAAATACTTGTGCACAAAACAAATTGCCACTATTTATTCATTCATTTTTACATATCAAAGATCGATTGGATACGTCTTCAACAGGTGGTATTTCCATAATCTGACGACAGACTAATCAAACAGACCTACAAAACAAAAATCATTATGGGTTAGTTTTGTTTTTTTCAGTGTGCAATAGTACAAGATGTAAATTAGTGGAATGATAAGCTGATATTTATGCATGTACAACTTCGAATCGTTTTTTGCGCAAGAAGGATGCCCACAATAAATAATTTTCAACTACTCTCCATGAACAAGGGTAAAAGCAGTCAGTTACCCGATATCTACAATTTTTAATGAAATTTGAAGTTAACCAAATGACAGTACAATAACGAGTGCAATGTAAAGGTAGACTAGCTTGCTTTAAAACAAACATTTTTGCTGGGTAATCTGCCTAAAACACATTTCCAATAAACAAAATACAATATATTGAATTAAGAATGTTAGAGTCGTGCCAAGCTATCCATTACTTCATTGACCCTTCGAGTGCCACTAATTTTTTTACCACAATTTTCGTGCAGCATCCTGCAAAATAATTTCTTGTTCTAGAATTTTGGACACAATTTGATGCTGTCTAACCAAAATGTTTTCAAATAAAATTATGGGTGGATGACACTTCAGCGCTTGAAAAAAGGTCAAGACTTTGAACAATGAGTACAAACCAAGACGTTACTAAGCTTTGACGAACTAATTTTTTTTTGCCAATTGAGAAACATCAGCGTTATTTAGTTCACGTCTCACCTAGGTCTTAACTCATACTTGTTATTTCCCTTAGAAGAGGGCATTAAATAGACCATTTTCACGTTCACTGTGAGAATCACAAGTTATGCGTGAAATCGAACGTAAACACAGGACAAACAAAGGTCAGAGCATCGTCAAACATCGCATGCGATTCGACAAACGCAAAAATATTTGGGGGGGGCATTTCCATACTTAATGTGCAGTACACATTTCATGATAGACAATTTCGATTAAATGAGGGTATTCGAAAGCAATATTCCTCTGTTGAAGATCGGTCGATGTGAGCTATGAAATAAAGAAATTTGAGTTTGGTACGCGTCTTTCATGCATCTCGCGAGATCTCGCAGTTGAACGGTAAATCACCTATTGTGGGAAAGATCAATGTTTATCAATACAAAAATCACATGCGTGTTGTGACGACCACCTCACTTTAAGCGTAGTTTAAACGAGTGCTTACCGAATCCCATATCGTCATCGGATTCCTCCTCAGATTCCTCCTTCTTTTCTTCCTTTTCTTCAGGCGCTGGAAATAAAGATAACACATTTACAAATACTTAATTGTGTCAGGTGATCAAGTGGATAACTAGCAGTTGAGAGGAGTTACAAAGTTATTCATATATTCAAAAAATCCTGCACAATAGAACTAATTTGAAAACCCAAGTCAATGAAATGTTCACACCAAAAAGACTTGTATATAGTATACGTTCCCACCAGGATGAAATTGATGTATGTAGCCATGTTCGCCACAAGGGGCTTTAAGTGGGCGGCCTGCCCAGTTACCGTCAACGCCATCACAACTCTTATCCAGCTGAAATGATTTGTAAAAAGCTTGCATTGTTCAAGACGGAAGAGTAATTGCCCAACTCTTTATTTTGCTGTAGTTTCATAAGTCAAGATATAAAGAATGACCACTGGAAGTCTGCAAGCAGTGTATTCATGGCAATGTGTCAATCGTCACAATTCATTGTCGTCTAGCATTGTTACCACTTGTTGCTTACAGTTAGCAACTACAGTAGTTTTGATTCACAGCTGTATTTTTAGTAATCATCTTCCGATCACTATAGTAGGAAGTAAATACGAACAAAATTTATATACACAGAAAATAAATATATTAGCAGACTGCATGTAAAGTCAAACAAAAAATCCGTATTTACAATGTTCGCTGGAGAAGACAAACTTGTGACTTCTTGGCCTACCCTATTCAGAGGCCGTCAGCCACCCAACGCCTGTCGGTGCTGTAACAATTTAGCATCTAAGTTGCATGGGAGAACAAAGCATTGTTCATGTATAAATTCGAAAAGTGGTAACAAAGATCAAAGATGGTTACTGGATTAGTTAACCCCGAGTATTTGTAATTGAATACACATTTTAGGTATCTTTTCCATGTACTTTTTCACTTTTATTAATTTTTTTCATGGTGAATCTTTCAAGAACATAGGATATTGCTCATAAATCACCGGCTTCGAACATTGCATTGCGTAAATATTGATATTGAACAATCTGTTATTTCAAAGGATTTAACACGTTTCAATTAAATGAAAAATAGAATAGTGGATAACTTAGTGTGTATTGCTGTCTGACAAATGCTAGAATGTTGTATGCAAATGACATGCAAATTAATGCTAATTAGGGCCACCCACCAGCTATTTTGGATTGTGGAGAACACTGATGTAGGTCATTATCCCGAATTAGTTAAAGGAAATAAATTTCTATTTTTTTTTTATCAAACCTGAACAAAACAAGATGCTTAAAGGGCAATCACTTTTGCTTTGAATTTATTTTCAAAACAGAGGCCAGTCGATATAAAAATTTACATTTCTTTAACTCTGCTATTTTACGACAGTAAATGTCGTGTAGAATTACAACGTTATTGAAGACTAAATGAATGCATACTTTGCATCTAGGAACGTCAACGTATGCATTAGTTCCACGAAAATCAAGTTTATGTTCAAAATACGTCAAAACAATTCACTGCATTTGATAACTGGTTTTCTAATAATTGCAAGTTATATGATAAATTGAGCAATAAATTTATTTGAATTTACTGGTTAAAAGCAAGTACAGCAAGTTTTCCCGTTTAGGCTTCTATAAATCCTGGATACTCCAAGAATGTACTTCAGGGATCAAGCACAAGGCCTATTGTTGGCTTGGGGTTTTTTTGAAAAGAACACAAGTGAATTATGGAGTGAAGTACGGAGTGAAGTACACAGCAATTACCCCAGCAAACTCGCCTGATGCAAACAATTTATCACCATTATTCAACCTTCGGCTTTGAAATCAATTTATTTTAATTCATAATTTAATAGCATTTGACCATTTAAGGATACAGTGAAAGCTTAACAGCGACAATATTTCATACCACCTCTTCGCCTAACAATGAAATTCATGAAAAAAAAAAAGGTTAATATTACCTTCTGTAGCTGCAGCAGCACCAGCAGCAGGTGCAGCCCCACCACCAGCACCACCAGTGCCAACTGAACTCAGAAGACTGCCAATGTTGATATTGCCTAAAGCTCTTGCAAACAGACCAGCCCAGAATGGTTCCACTTTCACGTTTGCTGCTTTCAGAATGGTTTGGATCTTATCAGCCTGGTAGATTAAAAAAAAAAAAAATTAGTATTGCTTGTGAACAATGCCCAGTTGCCTTTTTTTTTTTTAAATCACCAGTTTCCTATATTTTTATCACAAATTCACAAAATAGTCCCATTTATAGTCTGCACTTTCCTTCAGAAGATTGGGCCAAAAACAGCCAAATTTTTGGAGTAAGAGGGAACTTTGAAAAATACTGATGATTGCAACAGTGGCAGTGAATACCCGTTTCTCGTTGTTTACAGTTTAATGTCAGCTGACAATATTACAGTACAGGTATAGATCAATTGAAAAAAAAAAAAAAAAAACGTTGAATTTGAATGTATTTCTACTGATTTCAGTAGAAGTTCCACTATTAACACCAGTGTTCTCCCCAAAGCGTTTTAGCGTAGCGGGGCCGCTACTCCATTATTTA